ATATCGGAAAATCAATAAAAAATAAACAAAACGTGGTAATATCCCGTAATTTTTTCTATGCGTATACATATACTAACAAAACAGTAAATTACAGGTGTTTACAAAACAATTAAACACCATTACCTTGTACATGTAGGTAGGTGCTATTTAATTATAAATGTACGTAATCCGAGTATTATTTAGACAATATACACACATTACTTAGCATCTAATAGTGAACACCCATGTTTTCAATATGTCAAAAATATTTTTGTTTGATAGAATATTCTAAATAATGGACCTATTATAGTGTTGTGTGACCGATTTAAATCATCTTGCCGTGTACCTGCCACGCAATTCAGGGAAGGGTTTGAATAGATACCCCATATCATTGCGTCGTGAATTGTCCATAAATCTCTCTATATGCCGCCTTTTGTTTAGCTCGCCCGGCATGTGAATGCCCTCCCGGAGCTTAGGCAAATTCGGAATCCAGCATTTACTTCACAGAAATTGGACGAAATGGGTCCTTCTATAATATATGTGGTCGCTTGTGATAGCGGATAATGAATTTGCTCTCGTAGTTCATTGTTTAACGTCTTTATAGAATTTCCTCTCTGTTACAAGCTATCTAGAGTGAGAAATCTGCGCCATTTAACAACGTGTAAAATGTGGAGAAGTGATTTTGTTTTCTTCATCTCGTGGCAGTATTTATTTTAGGCTTGTCATTGTATTTTGATGAGTTTTTATTGAAGTAATCAAAGTTAGAAAATTAGAACTCAATTTAATAAATATATGATAGGTTTTTTATAAAACCAATAATTATAAAATATACATATATAATCGTCAATGAGTGACTTGTCATCTTATTATAGGATTAAAGCTTTATAAATTTTTGTGTTATAATTAGAATATTTTTTGTAAATCTTGCATTATCTAATTTTAAACTGCTGTAAAAATATGTAGAAAATTCGTTAAACACTTTGTTTTCATTTAAACTCTATTAAAATCCAGGAAAATAAATATTTGCTGTGTCCCAAAACAATAGGTTAACCGTACCCATAAATCACAATATTCGAATCGACCTACGGCTAAACCTAAATCGAAACAAGATAAACTTGAACGTCGCGAAAATCCACATAAAACCGCAAAACATTCGAAAATGATTTATAGTATCCCCGATCTGTTTGGGAGGCTTCGCGGCAGAAAAAACAGATTATCGAAATCCCAGTTATTTCCAACAATCGGTTTAGTACACAGATCTACAAAAATGTGAGTTGGTATGTATAGCATTTGTGTGATGTATAGAGTTTGTTTAAATTTGTTGTGTTTGTGTAGATTAAACAAAAACACATGCATAATATACATACAAAATACTGAGGCTGATAAAAATATTTACACTCGTGAATACAAATGTTTATACCACATATTTTATGAATATGCATGGGTACTCAACGGAGACGTATCAAATAATGATCATAGTCTCTTTTAGAATTTAGAGACGCAACATAAATGGAAATTTATTGTCTAATATTAATTAGTACTCTAATACTGTATTATAGTCTTACACAATAGAGTATCACTCTATTTTGTAAGATAACAGAGGGAGAAGCAACTTTTCAAACTCAGTGAATCTAACAATTCGTCATCCATTAAGATTGGTAGCAATACGTATTGTACTCTAACATTGTCTTACAGTGTTGAGTCCAGTCAAGCAGTGGATATTAAGGTACTCCAGTTCATAGGTATAATGAAAGTTTTATCTCTATAGATGTAGTCTACCAACGGGAGGTTAAGTGAGCGACTCAAACATGTAATATGTATTTACTTAATATTTATTCATATATTCGCGTTCATCCAATTCTAAACACGAGGAAAGGCCTCATCTGTAAATGTATTTCTAGGCAATTTTTGTGACCAATGCATTTTATATGAACATGGCTCTCGTTAGATAAGAAACCTCTACGAAAAAGAAGGGTTTCTCAAGATGCATGGCTACTCTTGGGAACGTTATTAATGGTAATGTATTTTTCCCGTCTCTTCGTTTTTTCGTCCTCTAATTAAAGTCATTCTTGGTCCCAAGATAGCATTAACATTACGTAGGATCGCATGAATTTCAATACTCTTGTCAGTAATGTTTTTCTGAATTATGTAACTGTATCTGAAATAAAAAATGTATATAATTATTTGGATAATATAGCTATAGATATAGTAAAACGTACTTAGTAATACTCAATATGAAGAAAGTAAACTAGGTGTAATCTACTGTATGTACAGGAAAATCATTACTAGCAATCGTTTATCAAAAAATTTATGAAAGTAAATATTCATTCATATTTACTTTCATGAATTTTTAGATAAACGCACTGTTATGAAGTTACTGCGTTTTTCATTGGCTTGACAATATAATATACCTGTACTTTTTGATACTTCTGTTTGCAAGGGTTTTAAATAAATGGAACACAAATATTAAACTACTGTTGATAAAAAAGTTTATTTATTTTTTCATCTTAATCTTAGATTGTTTTGATTTAATTGACATATATATTGGTCAAAATATGTATATATTCTTTGATATTGTTTTATATTTATTATTCTCATAATAGTATGAGTGTTATACGTCCAAAAATAATGGTACATATTTTATTATTTGATTATCAACTATCAGGTTTTAGGTAAGAAACCACAAGCAATAAAATACGTTGGACGCAAACAACAACACCTATACATTCGCATCCATAAATCTAATTTGGTACGGTCACAATCGTAAATACATTAGGTACGTTGTGTGATAGCTCTATTTTATGACAAAAGTCGTGTTGTAAAAATAAAAATAATACAGTAAAAGTGGTGGTACCTTTTATCGCCTATAGTTCAACTATTACATATGCATCCTACAAAAAAAAAACACACCAATGGTGTGTTTTTTTATATAATGGAACGGAAAACTAACTGACGTCCACCTTATTATAAGTGGTAACCGTAGCTAACACATGAGAATCACTACGTCTTTTTTTTTTATCCGCTCAGCACATTGCTGTACCGAAGCTATAGCGCTGATTTTTAGCAGAGTCCTTTGGGTAAATAATAGTTAATAAAACAAAAATGTAGGAAAGAAATTATGGATCGAATTATACGCGACAATCTAAACAAACGTGAACATAAAAATCATTTTACATTATTATGGCATTCCAGAGGACTAAAATGTCATGCCTCTTATCTTGTAATTTCACTTCCTTATCCCAACGGAAATACAGTTTACAAAAGTAGGCAGAGTTTGGGTACCCCTGTTGACTCTTTGCAAAGTGTCGGTGAAAATATATTGTACATTTATTTATTATAAAAATAGTTATCAGAATACTGATCTATCAAATTATTCGCAGATTCTTACTTCCATGTTATGAGCCGCATCTGAACACACTTGTGTCATAAAAGAATCGACTAGCATAAAAAAGGACCCGCCCAAATCTGCTGGGACCAAAAAATATAACGATGTATTTAACTTTGATTTTATCGTCTTATTATTGTGTTGTATTGATGGTTGACAGTAGTAAAAAAGGGGGTCAGGTGAGTAAGTTACTGTGAAATTCTTTCTTAAAAACAAGTATACAAATGATTATTGGATTTATTTTCTACATATTGTGACTTATGTTTCTAATATAATACCGTTCCGCCTATAATATTGTTTGCTTATAAGTACCTGGACGAGTTGGCTTCGGTCTACATACTTTATTTTGTAAAATTATGACATTACGTTACGTAATGTCATAATTTTACGTAGTAGTACGCAATTCTTACTGCTGAAAACATCTCAGCAAATCGAGATTGCGCTGTAATGAATAACATTTTTGCGTCATTAAACTACAAAACTTTACAAAATCCCTTATATCATATCAAAAACTTATGTATACGTATGCATAAGTTTTTCACAACATACAATATAATAAACATGTACGTACATAGATAAAATGAAGTAAGTCAATATACCTTTAAAAAAATTGTATCAATTAATAAATAATAATTCAGAATACTATGTAATATGCAAGTTGTTAAAATAGGTAAGCTATTTCCTATATTTCAATCACTTAACTACATATTGCAAATACTTTACTATTTAAAGATGGTTTCCAGGTCAATCGATGGATGCTCAGAACTTCTAGTTTATAAATACATTAATCATTAAATATACCTGACCTGCTGACCTAAAGACAGATAAATATATAATGCCAAACTATACTAATATATAAATGTGAATTGAACATTTATTTGTTGAGATATTTAATTATTTAGGTATTCGCGTCTTTGTTACTCTATGAATTGAAGTAAAAAAAATTGAATAGATTAAAAGAAGAATACTAAGGCACAAGACTTTAGAATAATATTTTTATTTGTATATATCTATGTATACTATATATGTACATAGCTTTATAAAAATAATGATCCTCTCGATAGTAAAATCATCAAATTGTAGTTCAAAATTTACTTCGTTATTAATAGTAGTCGATATTACCCAATTACATCAACAATTAAATAATTAATAATTATTTGTATTCTGATACTTTACACAAAGTGTGTATATATTTAGACACACTCATTTACTAATTAGTCCCATTTCTATTAAAAGAAGACCAAGAAATAATTATATAAATAAAAGTCAAGGATGTGGTCTGAAATAGAAGTAAAAAGAATGGAAGAAATAAATCAGTTGTCAGGGGAATCTCTTAAATTCAAAGAAAACTAATTAACAAAACATTTATTATTCATTTATAATATACGAATAAGTGTAATGATATATTTTCAATGCAAAATTATGACATTGAACGTTTTCAAGCTGAAATTGGTCTCACATACCTTCATAATTTGAGTGGCGTAATTAGCACGACCGAAAATGAGTCGGTCTGGTGCCGGACTTAAATAACTTTGTACCACGTTCGGATATCTCCGCCATTTTCCGAGCAAGTCCGAACGCTTATTTGAAAAGTCGCGATGCAGTCCATGGCGTAGCGGCAGTCGCTTCGTAGCATCCGTAGCACTCGGGTCTACGAGAACTCCACAAATAATAATCGCGTCACGTTTCTTTAATAGAAACACCGTAACTCTAAAGAATATGGACTTTAAATCTCTAAACTTAAGTTAATTGATCTTTTAGTGCAAGAAATTCTAGTAATTGTATATGTGACTGGATTATATAGCAACAGGTAAGTGAAGTAATTCTGACAAATGAGATGTTTATTGGTTTTTGATATATGCAATGCATTGCATAATAGAAAATGTATTAACTACTGTTTATTAGCATACAACTATTTTGTAGTATTTACACAATAGTTTTTATATTATTCACGTATTTAATCTAAACAATTATCAATTTTTTTTTATGATAGAATTGTGTATTATGTACATTGTGAGTAACAAAATTGAATTAAAATAATTGTTAACTTGTTTAATTTAATTTAATTTAATTCCAGTTTAAATATTTCAAAGTATTTTTACTCTGTTTAATTTTTATTGTATAAGGGGTTTATTTACAATCAGATAAATAATGGTATTAAGGTTTAGATATTATTGTTATTTAGAATTATTATAGTATTTATTGGTATATGCTACAGAATAAAAAAATATAAGTACGAATCAACAAAAAGAAATCTGTTATTCTTCATTTCATTAATTTGACTGGTAGGATTCCTTTGACATTGATGAACAAAAAAGTGCTTATTTATTGTGATGTTTCTAGAATAAATGTATTTCTTAAGAATATCATGCCTGTAGAGATCATTTCGTCAATGTGAGTAAGTATGTGTGTATATAAATGAAAACATCTCATAAGAGTAAGTCTTATAACCATTTATCACCATTTTTAATTATACTTTTTAAAGATAATCACATTTATACCGAATTACTTTCAATATTTTATTCCGATTACTCGTATTTAATGTATTTAATACTAGACTTTATCGCCAAAGGAATTTCAATTTACTACTTTAGGATAATATAGAGTAAAATTGGAAATCTATCTGGGTAACATAAGTTGAAATATTTGAAATTATTTTTTTCTGCTATTTTGTTAGCCAATGTAAACAATATTAGAAGACTAGAAGTTAAGAGATAGGAAAAAACAATACACATTTTATGTAATCATTATTTTGTAATCATTACATATTCTATCATGACCCTTATTTCAAACGGGGTATAGTTGAATTCAAGGTCGCACTAATAGAGCTTATCGCCATTTCTCGTTAGGTTATCATCTCTATGCAATACACACAAGAGTCTATTAGTTAAATTCTGACAGATGTCAAACTCTGTTTGTAAATATATTTTCTGACTGCCCTCCAGTAAAGGTAATAGCAATATTAAAACAAAAATTAATCCGAGAGACATCGTTAGGCTCGTACCTGCCACGTTGGATTCAAATATACCGAGAGAAATGTGGGCATGTCAAGTGTTGTGTTTACTATGATCTTAACAATTGATAGTACTTCTGACTACCTTATTAGTGACAACAGTCCTGACAATATCTCATATCCATGATAGAAAAGTGTTGATGTCCGTAAGTTTTAGATTACGCTATCTTTAGATTCATATGGCCATATGTATATGTATACTAGGCCACAACTATGACAATATAACTAACAAGAAGTAACTATATAACTAGCAAGGATAATTGATCCTATAACAATTTTAATTTGTTGGTTGCCTATAATATTAAAATGTTGATTGCGTTAATTGACTACATTATATGAGACATTGTAAGAGTGTGTTCCACTTTGATCTCAAACAATTGATATTTTATTCAGTAATATATAATTCCAACCTTTTTGAATAAGCAAATATCTATTGTTAGCTTTGCATACCCTCGGGGTCATATTCTGTAGTATACGGGGCACTTGAGTTAATTAATTAGGCCCTTTGATGCTGCCGCCGGCAGCCAGTCCTAACGAGATTTGTACTAAACAATACCTAACTTTTTCTGCTATACTGTATAATTGTAATTTTAGAGTTTGATATCTGCGCTGGAATATTTTAATGCATAGATGGGTTTCACATTTGTCTATTGCCATCTAATGATGATATAATGTATGTATATCTATATGGTAACCATATTTAACAATATATTTATTGAAATATTCCTCATAGTTACTAACTGAAGCTTAAAACTTGAATACACAGTTCTCCTCTTGTCATGATTTTACGATTTTATTTATGTAAAGATGAATTATAATACCATTTCGTTATAGCTAATTAATACTAAGAAAATTGATAAACTAGATATGTTTAAAGATAGACTCATAACTTAAGTAAATATAGTTACAAATTACTTTACTGAAATGGCTTCTAAGCTCGGATATCTAAAATTAATTAATAGTGCTGACGTTCTAATATTTGCGCATAATCAAATTACAAGAAAACCTTTTAATAAGACAAAAAGAAAATTAATTCACCGCTTCCCATCATTTTTGCGTATCGGCGTTGACGTTAATCGATTAAGCGATGACTTTCAACAAAAAACTCGGCTCGTTTCTTTAGAAGCCACAAGAGCGGTTCGTTGGTAGCATCGATTCGCGTCTACTATTGTTTGCATAACAAAAAACGTGCTTGTAACGCTCTGAACATTAATATAAACTGTCGGCTCCATGTGTTGACGCGCAGTTCGCTATATGTTTAATGCGGTTTCCTTTTAAATGACCAGTAAATATCTTGACTTTGTTAATTGTATGATATATTACACGAATCCCACGATGATGTCCGCGTGAAGTCGAATAAATGGTATCCTACACGGTAATATAGACTTTAATTGTGATTACGTAACAAACCTACAAAATTTTGCATTTATACCATATATATAAATAAATCAAGGAAAAATTAGAGTCATATTGTATTATCAATAGTTAGTTGAATGGAAATAGCATGAGCACTATAGAAAAGAGGGCGGCTCTTAAATTAAAAATAAAAGGTTACTCAACTCGACTCGACGACTTGAATCACAGTCCACGGCTTTACCGTACGATGAATTGAAAATACCAATAAATATATATATTTATATAATAACATTACAATATAAATCTTGTTACTTCTATCGTAATAGAGTCAAGAGAGCATTGTGACTTTGAAGTTTACCGCTACCTACTACCTACTGAGACCGAAAGATCTTGAGTTTAAAGGTACTAGAAAACGTTTTTGTGTATATTCATATTTTTTTATGAAATCTCCACGTTAGGGTCATCCCTGCAATATTTGATTCAAATATACCGAGCGCAAAGTCAGATTGAGAAGAGATATGTTCACATGACGATAACATTTGACAATGCCGCGAACGATCCCCTCTGGGACAACAATTGAGACAGAACATAATAATATGTATACTATTGTTGCTCACGACTTTGTTAGTGTGTGTATTTGTACATCGCCATCTAAAAGTGGTAAGCAAATGAAAATAATAATAATAAGAAATACTAATATCTATACTCACACAATCACATTCTATTACTTCAATCAATAAAATAATGGGTGGCGATTTAAAAAAAAATATATTAAATTATTCCTCTGTTCGGGAGGTATTTTTATTATTTTTCTGTAACCTGTATTTTACAATAAGTTCTATAAAATGATCTCTTAAATTCTGTTCGTTTCGTTCGTGTTCGTTCTACGTGAAACTTTAAGGTGCACTCAGATAAATAGTTAAACAGACAAACGGCCAGTTTTTGCCTCGTCACGATTTTAGCGTTTTAATATATGTAAAGATGAAGAAGATAATAAAGATTGCTATTGTACTATTTGATACTAACGTAAAGACATTGCATTAATTATGTCATACACAAACACTCTGTTTACATACTACACAATAATAGCCCTGTATAAATAACTACAGTTTGCGAGAACCCTTACCGGTTGTTAGTTATGTTAAGTACAAAAGCAGCACCTGCTGCAAAGCTTTGGATGTTGCTATTTACACATGGAAGGTAAAGGAGCTCATTATCCAAGTACTAAGTGGAACATTGCATTTAGTTGTGGACTTGTTGTGGAATTTATGTTTTAGGGTAATTCAAATTAGTCTCCGTAAGTTTGTATTGTATCTAAGAATAGATACAGCTATTTTAATTATGCCTTGTCTTATTTGTACCTATAATTACCTACTAATTACCTATAAATATGTATTTAAATGAATGTTGTGACTAAACCTTTTCATACAAACATTTTTATTGTTGAGTAGATTCATTCTGTTTGATGACCTCGGTGATACCGTCTTTGTTTTGATGGTACCGGGCTTGATTGTCGCATGATACAAACATATATCTATATATATACAATTCATAAGTATGTTTGTAAATATTGGACTGCTTACATTCTGTGTATACATACTTATGTCTCCAAAATAAAACACATTTACGTTGTATACTCCCCACAATACAAGCTCTGCTTAATTTAGGCGATTGCAGGAAATAAACTGTGTATTCAAGTATATTATATACATATATAAATGAACTAATTTTATTTTAACATGAATAATTTAGCGAAATATCGTCCATTATAACAAATATAAATAATTAATCACGTACCTAAACCCTTTTCAATAAGAGAAGTTTCGTTTCTTGTCCGTAACTAAAGTAAAACTAGTCAGATGGCGGTGTCAAGTTCAACAACAAAGTTGACGTTATAGAAGGCTCATTTTTCATTAAGATTGCCAATAAATTTAATATTATATATAGAGACATTAGATACTACTATATCTATTAGTAGTTTATTGATTTCTATAAACATAATAGCTCACGTCAATTCACATAGCGCTAACTAGAGCTTGCATTATGAGTACTATATAACTGATATAAATACATAGATATTTCTCTTCTTTGCAAAAATATACATAATATACATAGATAACGATAAACAATACTCATGAATATAAATGTTTATGTGAGGAATCGAACATGTAACCATTGAGAGTAAAACGGTATACTAAACCGTTAGATCACCGAGGCCTTCGACCTTGTCGTTGGTTATTGCTAGAATATTTATCATCATCATTACTGCCTTACCTTCATCTCATTATTTGGAGTCGGCGCAGTATGCCCTCTTCTTCCACTGATTCCTATCAGTCATATCTAAGCTTACTCCTGTAATCCTGTAAATCCTGTAATGGCTTAAAATATTATTTGTCTAAAAAACTTTCGTTAGATTTTAGATGTTCACATAATACACTGTACTATGTAATATATACACATATAATTATATATCCTATGTTACTCCCTTATTACTGTGAGAACGACGTAGCGGCACTATGTTAGAAATGCCAGCCACATCTGCTACCAGTTGTCTGCGAGACGCATAATGCATGTTGCCTTTCTGACAATTTGTCTTTTGCAATTATGGCTTTAAGGTTATGTTCAAATATGACACTAAATGTTCTACTATAAATATGTACATGGTTTTAGTAACATTCTTACTATTATAGACCTATTAAATTACCGATAGTATATTTTATTCAAATGTGTAATTATTATATTGAAAATGATAAACTGGATGAAATTGGGTGTATATATGTATATATTTACTATAATAGTTTACAAAGTTCACAATATATGTACTTGTAGTAATTGTAAGACGCCGCAAATAGCAAGTAGTGATTGAGAAGAAGCAGCAAACGGCAATATTATATATATGTTACTAAAAGTACTAATACTATTTTTAGGTGTATATAAATATTTCTATACTGACATTTCTATCAATCGATGAAATATGTCTGGATGATGAAACGTTGTAGAAATTTGAGTAGATTCAATTTAGTAGATATTCATTCAGGCTTGCTTTGCTTTAAATATAGATACTATATTAATTGGTTAATTGCTACTAATCAGATTATATTATTATTAATATTAGTTGCTTTAATTAATGGATCCTATTTTTTTTCTAATATACGGAAAGTAGAAAAGAAGACATTACCATTTCTTCAAAACTGGATTTCTTAAAACTATTAATGAAATTCTTGAAAAAAGTAAATATAAGGTTCCAGTCAATGATGTCAATGTTTAAATTTCATTGTTTTTGTTTTCATCTCATTCCATTTTATTATAGCACCATAAAACAATAACCATTTCCTGTAACCTTAACTGCATTGGTGCTATGAAATACTTTAGAATCTATATAACAGTGCAGTAAAGTTTTCCCGAGCACTGCAGTACAAAGTGTGCTAAATGCTTGTACTTTTTATTGCCCACTAAAATAATTATTATAGCTAAGTATTAGTAAACTTACCTACTTTGTATTTATAGTGTTTATCTCACTACTTACTACTCTTATGTCATAAATGAGAAACTATGTATTACTTTACAAATGTTTGAATATCATTTGTATTTTAAACAGATTGCATTATATAGAAACGACGAAAGTAGCGTATTAATATGATAACGAAACTACTGGCTTCCATTTATAAAGATATTTATTAATATTAAATCCTAACGCATTAAGGACCAGGAATTTACAATATAATATTGTTAATCGCTGAACCTTTTTTTACGCCAAATGTTGTGTTACCTACATGATTTTTAACATTTAGTCCGTGTCAATAATACTATAGTGAGTCACAGTTAGGATCTCATTAAAAGTTTGACTAAATTATGATAAATATTTATTACATAAATAATCGCATATGTAACATATACCTATACAATACACGACAGAAACAGAAAATGATTTTGTAATATATACACATGTTATAACACTTCATACTCGCATCTAAATCAGTTTTAATTGTAACCAGATCACTTTTGCCCCGGGGCATTATCGGGTGTTCATTCGAAAATGTTAGGTTATACGTCTCAATATCCATCTGTTTCATATGTATGTAATTCTGTTCTGAGAATTTAACAGCAATATATAATTGATAAAATTGATATATTCTGAATTATGAAATTACAGATTTACAACTAGTTTAAATAAAACAGGACCACAAAATTAAGTTTTTTCGTAAACGTTAAACATTCCTAGACAGTCGTTAGTTAGTCTACCGATTGTAGTATACTCTAGTTTGCGTTCATTCATTTTTCAGGAATGAATGAAGAAATGCATTATATATAATATTCATTTATATATTGCATTTCCAATTAGATTTTCCCGATAACATTTAAATCAATTTCAAATTTCGAATCGGTAACATTAATCGTATTTTCAACGCAGTGTTACAGCAGGCGTAAAAATAATGTCACATTATTTAGGGTTTCTTTTTGTATTTTGATTCAGAATTCTGCAGAGACAACAATCTTTTGAGGATACATTCCGAAATAGCAAGACCCGTTATAATTTAGAAAACTTATTTATGCAAGCAATGTATAGTACCCCACCCTGCAAGGAACATGACATGAATGTATTACCAGGATAGATATATAAAATATATTGTACCACTACGTTAGACAGAACCGGGTATTAAGAAATCAGGAATTATTTTATAGTATGTGATTATAGCAAAAATGACTATTATTTCTATTGTAATGGAATAATAAGCGAAATCAGCGGATCAGTTACAAAAGTGTTCAACTTTAAACTACATTGACAGGTGAAAATCGAATTTAAACTCCGAGTTCAAAATCTCGACTACCTGCGAATGTATTTTATAACTTTGTTAGCGATCTCACCTTTTCTGCAAAAATCCAATATGTAAGTTTGTAAGCGTCGATCGCTGCCAGATTATTATAGTGATGTGGCTGAATATAGAAATGACAACGTTTTATTATAACTAAACATAAATAATTTTAATTAGGAAAAATGATTTATTTGTCCTAGTGTGGATTGATTTGTTATAATTTTCTAAAATACTAAAAGTTATATTAACAGTACTTATTCCTGATGTTTTGTCAGTTGTTAAAAGTTATTGGAAATAATCACAATCGAAAATACCCAGGTGCACTGATTCGATGTAAATAACGATTTCATTTAGCCGACTGCGCTTTACAGTAGTCTATTGTAGGAATATTAAATATACCTAAATTACGAAATAATATTTCATGTATGATTTTAATTAATAAATCCATGTTATCTAATCAAATTACAATAAATTATTTGTTCACAGATATTAGAGTAATGAAAAAAAATGAAAATAAAAGTACAGAGCAACTACAGTAACTTACCAAAGGCATCACGCCTGGACATGATGAAATTGCCGAACATGAAATAGGTTGTGCTGGTGGCAGATGTAAATTGATTAACTATGGACCGGAAATTAGTGTGCGTGCTGACCGCAGCGCTGGCGCTGCAAATAATTGGTGCTTCGAAGCTGATGTGTCCAAGTGACCCTAACTGCGTTTGCGGCGGCACGCTCGCTGTCGAACTCGATTGCAATATCGACGGTGAGTGCACTTAAATATTCACATCCTCGAACTACCTTTTACAGTTCATCAAAATTTGTGTAACATGTTACATTTTCGATTTCCGTCTATTTGGAAAAGTTTCGTTTTCGAAACATGGCAAACTTCATGCTCAACTAGCAACATGTACGATGTATTAATGAAATATTTTTATTTCAGGTCGAATAGTAAAAATTAACCTACTACCAAATACTTATATAAATATTCAATGTGAGAACATTACTAGTCTCGACTATATGAAGTTACCTAAATGTGCCAATGATATGAATTCATTCAAGTCAGTCAGTTTTAAAGACTGCCCGTTACCTATATCTTCATTTAAAGATGTGTTAACTAACATGGGTATATCCAAGACAATGGCGTTAATTTTCCAGAATGCAAAAAATCTATCTGGATACTTTGTTAGAAAACATTTTGAGGGATTACAAGATCTAACAAAATTATTATTATCATTTACTGGAATATCGGAATTACCAGACAATCTGTTCATGGATGTAAATAAGCTTACATGGTTAAATATAAGATCGAACGGAATTAATCTTTCTGAAGAGTTATTTAAACCTCTTGAAAGGTTAGAGACTCTTGAAATTAGTCATAATCACATGACTAATATTACTTCAAACTTATTTTCCCATTTGACATTCTTGAGGAAGCTTTCATTATGGCAAAATAACGTTACCTGGTTCTCTAAGGATTTATTTACTGGAGTTGATGTATTAGAAGAATTAGATTTAAGTTCAAATGGACTCAACGAACTTCCGGGGTCGATATTCAAGCCCCTGAAGAAATTGAAGAAACTGACATTATTCTCGAATAAGTTCTCAACATTGCCACAGAATTTGTTCAAATACAATAACGAGTTGGAAACAGTCGTTATTCTGAACAATGACGTAAAGCTAAAAGAGCTTCCAAAGTATTTATTTGGAAACTTACAGAATTTAACACAAATATACATACAAAGATGTGGACTAGAAGTATTACCGTATGACGTTTTTGCAAATTCATCGCAAATCACAAACATATCATTAGCTTATAATGACATCACGGGCCTTCCTGAATCAATCTTCAATGATCAAATTAACTTACTAGATTTAGACTTGAGTCATAATAAACTTGAATCTTTAGAACCAAAGATTTTTTCATCACTTGTTAGATTGGAGAGACTCGATTTATGCCACAATTCAATAGTAGAAATTGATGGGTAAGAATAAATTTTCTTTATCAAACCAGAAATATTTAGTTAGGTATATATAATTTATTTATCTATTGACATTTATTGAAAATTTGTTCACAGATTTACATTTTCGTCTCTACTGAGCTTAATACATCTAAATATGGAGAATAATAAACTAAAAATAATTTCATCCTATATGTTCAGTAACAATAAACAAAGAATGTCAATATCGCTGGCATATAATCATTTAGATTTTGAAACTAAGGATCTGAAACATAATACATGGATTTTGAATAGAGAATCGCCTTTTGCTCATACATATAATTTAAGATTGTTGAATTTAAGTCACAATGAACTGAAAAGTGTTTTTACTGATTGGTGGATAAATGGTCATGAAATCTTGGATATTAGTTCTAACGGTCTTAAAAAGTTATGGGTCAGTATATTATTATTATATATATTTAGGTAATTAATAGCTTATAGAATAATCTGTGCATATATTACTCGAAATTGCAGGATATGAGGCATGATAACTTAATTCTTAGGAATAACAATGCCTGATCAAGGTCGTCACATGATAACGTTATATTCGTGATGCTGTTCATGTATGTGCAACGGTTCCTGCTTACCCTAAGATGTACAGTCAGCTTTTTGCTATTCCATAAAAAAATATAACTGATAATTAATCACAATTATTAAATCATCATCTGTACAGTCTTTAAATGAACACAGAAGTTAAACAATATTTATATTAGTAGATTTCGAAAGAACAATTTATAATAGTAGTTTCATATATTATATTCCCAAAATTATTATCGTAAATGTTGAAGTTATAGTACGGTAATAAAACATGACGCTGTAATCAACTTATTTTATGTCGCTGCCATGAATAATTAAAGATAATTACGCTCAATGTCCATACGATGTAATGTAATCTTTGAATATAAGTTAATATTATAGTATAATGGTTAAAATTGTTTTATTAAATATTAATTACTTTATCAACGACATATGTGTATATATATTTAATTATATAAACTCATCTGTCCGTATTTGCTACAACTAAGTTAACAAACTCCTCCTTAAATAGTTAAACTAATTTAGATGAAATGTGTATAGATATCTTTGGGTTCCTGGATAGTTTGAAAATAATTATATTTATTATATTTATATTAACGAGTATTTACTCGTAGCCATTGTATTGATAGACATTTATATACAAAATACTGATAAATCGGACAACATACAAATGGTTAGTGTATACTCATTAGGTATATTTTATAGAAGTATATTAGGAATATAATATTTTTAAACTGTAAAATATTGTAATATTTCCCAAATGAAACATTTCAAGAAAATGAAAACAGCCTGTATCAATTATATATCTAAATAAGCAAGTATATTAGACATTATTGTGACCATTATATTTATTTCAGGATGATGAAATATCAAGCACAGTTATAAATTCTAAAAACAAATACAATAACTTACTTAAAAAACCTATAAAAGAAGTATGGATTGCTCACAACCCATTGGACTGCGAATGTAGAAATTTTCATTTTATTGATTTCATACAAGACAATTCCAAAGTAAAGGTTAGTAGATTTTACTTTTACATGTATTCTGTTGACAGGTTGTTATTGTTTATGTAGGTTTTTTAACATGTGATATTTTCTTTACAGATACCAGATTTGAAAGACTTCAAATGTCCATTATGGTCCAAGGAATCGTGTTACATGAGATTTATAGTATTCGTTGCACTTATTCTTAGCTTAATATCGCTGTACACAGTTGTGATAATTTTATTTATTACCTACAGAAAACAATGTAATAAACTCATAAAGAAGAAATTATGTGATAAGAAAAATAATGAAACACCCAAGCCGCCAAATGAAAATTTAATAGCGAACGACAACTACAAAAACATCATCGTAAAGTATTCTAAAGATGACGAAGAATTCGTTTTAAGGGAAATAGTACCAGGTTTGAGATGTCACAACATGAAGTTGCATATGAATCCAATTAAGTTTCCGAATAATACAAATAATTTTCTCAGGATTCTATATATGTGCGTCAAAGATACACATAAATATTCAACTCTAGTAGTATTTTCTCCAAACTACTTAATGTCAACTTACAGTCACGTCAACATAAAGAAAATTCATGGGGAAATGTTGAAAGCGGAAAACACATTTTATGTTTTCGTAGATATTGGCCCAGAAAACTCGGTATACTCATTCTTGAAAACCAGACGCGACGACCGAACATCGGTCGTGTGGAGTCAAGTCGATTTTTGGAAAAAAATTCTGGGCATGCTTAGCGCAGATAGCAAGAGAAAGGTTAACGTTAATGCAGCCACGAAGAAGATTATTAGTACGAGAATAAAGTCTAAAATGTGCAAATTAGGCAAGAATAAATTGCCGTCAAATATTTCCATTTCCAGATTACCTGACAGGTCCCTTCATTACAATATTAATCCATATTCGCACAGTCATGTTTAATCACATTCTACATCTTTAATTTAGTGAGGCAAAGACTGACTTCTCACCCGCGATAAGTTGTAGTAAAAATCTCATTTCAATTCCTTTATATACTTCACCATTATTTCTTTTATTATTTCTAGCTGGTGTTCTTAGATAGATACGAAAAAAAATATGTTTAAATTGTCATAAGGTTTGAGATGCAACTTGTAAAATTTTTACTTATAAATTTTATCGTGTAAAAAATTAGGTTAAGTTAAGGATATTTCATTGTTTGTATAAATAGTAGTTAACATTTTATGTAATTCGTTGTTCTGTGGGTAAACATACATATTTGAGGATCTGAACTTCAAAGAAGTCTATATAACATAATAGATGATGTAACCAATTATATAATCCCCTTCTGTTATTTATATGTACATACTATTCTTAAACTATTAACGCAAAATTACAAACCAATTAAGTTTCATGGAAACTGCATGTTGTTAAGAGTTGTAAACCGCAGCTTATAATAAAATGTATACTTTAACTATTTGTTTTTGTTGTATACCTATTATTGCTTACTTACTACTTCAAATAAATGATTTTGTAGGATTTTCATCGATAAAGTTCAAATTAGTCCTACACCTTATTCTGGTTGGTAATGCTATTAATTGTCCACCTTCCACCGTTTTCAGCTACTTAAAGAGCTACTAGAATACAGACAGTACTTAAAATCAGAATAAAATGTTTGTGCAAGCTGACACAAACATCACACTACGCATACACATTATACACGCATTAGTCGCTAAGCGTTTGCTGTTTCATTTTCTGATTTTATTATAATATTATAAGAGATTCAAAGATTAAGAAAGATTAAAACTGATATTTAATATGTACCATAATAAGTACACGTTTGGGTGTTTATTTACTTAACGTACACTGTAACTAATGCAAAATAATTAATAAACATATTTTTTGTGTGAAAATATTTAATATTTATTTTGGAAATTAAATGACCCAAATTAGTCTATTACAAACTCTAATGATAAATGAAATCGATCGTCACGTCGCCGTCATTCGGAAAGTGATTTAAGTTGAGAAGAACTGAATATTTTTAAATGAGTTGTATATAATTATAATAATATATTATTAAAGCTTAAGTTTAGAGTGAATACAGTGACCACTACCGTTCTATCCTGAAAAATTGTTCAATCATTACCCATGAACAAACTAGGCCACACAGACATGTGAAAGAGAGATATATCTACAGCAGAGTAACTATGTATATCATTGATTTATCATTCTTTTTCTGTTTTATACTGTTTTACAACGTACATCAAACTCTGAGCACTTTGCATGTCAATCACAAACCTAAAAAATAAAAAAACTATATTTGTCCGTTGTCAGTGTTTTAGGGAGTATATCCGATTTCAATTTGCCTGCGGGTATATTTTTTTTACGTTTTCTGTAAGCCTTCGCTTTGACACTGAAAAATTGCTGATATATTTTTATATAACCATTACGCACATGCTTTTATTACAGATGACTAGTAGTTTAAAACTATGAATTACACCCATATCAAATCTGGCAACGAGTTGGAAATTGGCCGAGTAATAATAACCAATATCGCAGTAGTTAATTCAAAAATGTTATAAACAAATATTAATAATTGTTACAATTATTAAATACGTCTTACATGTTGTAAACATAAATGAAAATATTAATTAGGTATTGAGAATAAGGTTTCAAAGGCGAACTTTAAATGACATAATACCATAGATAACTTAACAGAGATTACAATGAAAATGAATTGAGTATATTATTTTCGAACAAAGCACCTATTAATATAAAAATATTGAATTTACAGCCATTTCTACTTAGACTACATTAAAATAAAAAGCACACACACACACATGATGTATCACAGGTGTCACATGATAACGTGATGTTCGTAATTATTGTTAATATGTAGAGGTGATGGTGACAACATCAGACTCACCTAATGGTAAGTGGTTGAACTTATTTGCCATTCTATAAAACATATATTCATTGTTGTAGTCGATGGGACTGAACGCAGCCAAATAATTTTCATTCAAAATTTTCTTGTGACTACCTACAAATAATATTTCAAACTAAATTATTATTTACTTCTTTTGACAAATTCCAACAGATAGAGAGATGGATAAATCTATAACTAGACGAAAATATGTGAAAGGATTTTGTGTTTTAAAATGGTTACGGTCTTCTGAAATATATGATTAATCCTACAATAAAAATATGTCATTGTATTGTGACCTTTCACAATACTTAAATCATGCAATATTATTTGATTAGCAACCTTACCGTTGACTAAGTCTTCTATGTGAGCATCACAGCCATTTGAGTCGCTAAGCAGCTTGCGTTGTAATATATTGTATGCGTTTCGGCTGAAGAAGAAATAAGGCAGTGAAATTAAAGCTTAAGAAGCATAACATCTTAGTCCGCCGGAATGGCAACACCTGACCGCGTCACAGTTGTTACTTGATAATGTGATGTTCGTAATTATTGTTAATGTGTACAGGTGTCGGTGACAATATCAGGCTTACCTAATGGTAAGTGGTTCAACTTATTACATATTGTGGTACAATGTAAACATATGTAGTAAATCATAGTATGTAACAGTCACATATTACAATTTTAATTATCAATTAATTCGGTATGGTATATTTGATAAGTTCTAACTAAATGTTTTGCCTATGATCATACTTTCAACCAAAGGATTTTAATTTGAAAGGCAAACAATCTGATGCCCGACGATGGTAAGTAGTAACCGTCTCTTCGCCTACATTCATGAACAGCGGGTTTAGAGATTACAAGAGACAACATCTGGGCTCACCTAATGGTAACGGTTTGAACTGGTTTGCCATTCATTATTATAGTAGTAAAAACCAATAATTTTTCAAAAGAAATTAGGTACGTTACTTACATTGGTCAATTTGTTTGGAAAAATTCCAAAAGTTTATGAGACGGGTAGATGTACATCCAGACTATACTATGTGAAAGGATTATGCGTTTGTTTCAAATTGGTTACGGACCCCTGAAATATATTATTAATTCCACAATAAAAGTATGCTATTACAAGTAGAGACGTACATGACAAAAAATATAAATGATATGGTTTGTCTTCAAGAAATTGTCAATCAAAGTATGTATATATATATTACCTGTCTATTTCAGGAAAACTCATCCAGTTCCTTCCATATAATATTGTATTTAGATTAATGGAAAGTATATCTTTCCTTTTATCATTGTGAGTCTATCATTTTCAATATGGCTTTTTCCATATAACGTACCTGTAATTTTTGTGGCAGACTAAAAGGTTAATTATACACTGACGCTACATTTTCGTTGTTTATTTGGGTATTGTCTTTTAGTTGTATGTTCTTTTTTTACATAAAAAAGAGGAGGCAGTTAATTAGACATAAAATATTCGTTTTTTGTTTCGGAATCAAATTTTATAATGTTTTGATTAAAAAGATCTCAGCCTATATATACATATTTATTTATAATATATAGAAATCTGTCTTTAGTGAAAAGTGAAAAGTAAATAATATACATATTACTAACTGAACTAGAAGGTTTAAAAAATACTTGGCATAAGTGACTAATATATCCTTCGTGAATAGATTATTATATTATATTTTTATGTATTATAATTTAAGGGTAGGTATAGTTTAAGGGTAACGACCTATTATTAATAGTTACTTAAATATGTTAATGGTATCGGTTTCATGTAGATATAAATCAATGGTTTGCAAAATCAGAGTGACTTATTTTTACTATAGAATTTGTAATTAATTTACACTCTTGCGGCTAGTATGTATTAAGTATACATATGTGTATTTAATAAATACACCTTGACCACAATATTTAAGATCTAGATTTACATGCGCAAGAATGCGCAAGTCAGACTTAGAATAAAACTTTCGACAATTCTTCTACAACGATATCCTCAAGGCTTCTGTCAAGTAATATACAGACAACTTTCTATCACAATATTATCTATTAAATAATCTAAATATTTCAATTAAACTTTAAAATTAAAGTATCATTATAATTCTTTAAAAAACAATTTCTTATATCTTTGTTGCCATGAAACATATGTACTATATGGCACAAGCATTAATATAAAAAAATCCTTTTAACCCGTACAACGATTTATATTACATAAAGTTTTACTATTCAGTCGCACCCTCTCGATACGTGCAAAATTGTATCGAGCTACAAGGGGAAAACTAGAACGGGGTGAAAAACCCAATACCACTGAATTATTTATACACAATCACACACGTCTGTAGCAAATTCTACTGTAAGACATTTCTATTTAAATTGAGGAAATTATAATTAAATAATGATGGTGTATTGTCGTTTTCAATAAATATTTTAAAATGTTATGTTTTATTATACTTGTACTTCCTGAAGCGGATGTGATATATCCGATAAGTGAAAGGTATCGAGGGTTCTTTGAGGAAAAATAAGGTGATAATTTAAATACGCAACAAGTATGACAGCGATATTTAATAAAATGTTACAAAAAATCATATATATTTTTATTATATTTACAAATAACATACAAATGCATCAAGGCGTTATCAGTGCATCCAAAATTCAAATTCTAAACTAAATAAGTAAAATCAATATATAAACTCTTATAATAATGTTTTTATTACATTAATGTTACCTAAGCCACATCTATAAATACAAAGTTAACCATTAGATTATTTTAATGAAAATATACTAATTAAAATTGAACAGAAATTTAATAAATCCAATAATATATTTGGGTAATGTAATACAACGCTCATTAACTATTTGATTTATCGAGAACACCTAATTTAATTATACCAACCCAATACTATAATGACCTCCATTAATAATCGTAGTCGCTTTATTTCCACCATTTTAGTATGAGTATTTTATAATATTGTATATAAAATCAGGTACGATTCTATGTTATAGTTCTACAAAATTAAGCACGAGAAACCAAAATATACAAAATTGATTTAGTTAATTAAACAGTACCATATTGATACAAAAATATCTGGAAAATTACAATAGGCTATCAGAAATGGGTTGGTAGGTTTATAATTTTCGGGGAAGGTGAAGTGTATCATTACTTCAAAAAAGACGGAAAACTGAATTTATAGAATATGCAGTTAAAGTGATATGAGGTGAAAAGTGTAACAAAGTGGTATAAGCATCGATATGAGCGCCTAATAATTTCGTACAAGCATTCAGACAGCACATATTTGATGTTCCATAGAGTAAACGTGATCAAAACCACAGTTTATATCGGAAAAATATTATTTGGTTCCTCTACAAGAAATGGGATTCAGATTATAGGTATATTTGAAAATAGCGCTCTAGCCACAAGCCAATGAAGCATTATGAATAAGGGTGAATAACAAGTAATCAGGGGAAAGAGCAGTGAATACGTAAATAGGTATAAATAAGTACATAAATGGCAGTGAATGTATAAATATTTATGAAA